TGTAGAGCAGTCTCAGAAGGAAGCCTGGGCAATCTACTTCTGTAATGACACCACCTCAGAAACCCAAGGACGGTTGCTGTGAGTCAGATCTGACTTGACGGCAGGGCATTTGTGGTTTTCTTTTGTGCAGAGCAGTGGGAGCTCTGGTGGTGTACTGCCTAAGGCATGTGACTGCTAACCAGAAGGCTGGCATTTCAAACCCACCAGCCTCTCCTCGGAAGGAAGATCAGGCAATCTACTTCCGTAGAGATACCACCTCAGAAACCCAAGGAGGGGTTGCTATGAGTCGCAATAGACTCACTAGCAGTGAGTCTGTTTTTTTTGTTGTTTGTTTGTTACTTGGTGCAGAGCAGTGGGTACATAGTAGTGAGTAAGACCTGCCCTTAAGAAGTGTGGTCTAGTTGTAGGGTGACTGTCCCAGTTTGCTTGGAACTGAAGAGGTTCCTCGGCCATGGGTCTTTCAGTGCTAAAACTAGGAAATTTCTGGGTAAACCAGGCCAAGTTGCCCATCCTGTCTATTTGGGATGGTGGTAAGAGGCATTTGTTGGTGCTCCTTAGGAGGGAGGGAAAGTTTGCAAATTCTTTAGTAAGATGTCTTCTATTCACCATGTGTAAGATAAAAGATACAGAAATTTTTAGAAAGACAAAATCTACATGATCGGTTCTTCTAATTTTTTTATTCTATGGCCAAGGCAATAAAGGAGGTGAAGTGACATGCCCATGGTCAAACAACAAGAGAAGCAGAGCTGGGAGTAGCAGCTTGTCTGCCCTCCCATGCTCTTTCCCTAGAAACTGTCCTGCCTGGTGTCTCTTGTTCTGCCCATCCATCATCTCTCCTGCTCACCCAGATCCACTTTAGGAAAACTGAAAGGTGAAGGAGGTGCCCTGTGATGTAGAGAAAGAGGACTTCAGCAATGTGGCTGTAGCTGGGAGGGACCTGTGGGCTCCTAGGAGAGAAGAGGAAGGAAAGAAGAATTTAAGTGGCCTGGAGGGATCATTTAATTACTGGTATAAGGAGATAAGGAGCTTCTGGAAACAGAATAGGAGAAATTGGGCCATAATTTCAGGGGCAGAAGAAGGACAGAAGAGGAAGAAACTTCTAGAAGGACTCTCCTTCAGAGAGAGGAAGATTTTAAGAGAAAGGAACATTCTAATTCAGTGACCTGCATGTAAAATTTAGATCTTGGATAAAATTAACAAACCCGTAACCTTGTTTAATTTTAAAAATATTTATTCAGTGCCTACTGTGTGCCAGGCTCTGTTCTAAGGTTAGGGGGTAGCACAATAGCAAAACAAAGCTCCTGCTCTCAGGAGCTTACATGATAACAGAAGTAGACAGACATAAACAAATACAAATCTGATACAAATAATAGGTGTTCTGTCATGCGCAAAAGAATTTTCATATTAAAAAACCTTGCACTTTAAAGTGTATTGTATATGAAAATAGTGATTAAACCAAACCAAACTCACTGCCGTTGAGTCGTGACTCATAGCTACCCCTTCCGAGGTGGTATCTTTATGGAAGTAAATTGACCCATCTTCCCCCCGAGGAGTGGCTGGTGGATTTGAACTGCCAGCCTTCTGGTTAGCAGTCAAATGCCTTAGGCACTATGCCACCACAGCAGTTTAATATGTAAAATGAACCTAACATTTCAATTCTGATTGGTGAAAGGCTCGGAGGCAGTGTGGCAGTTGAAACTATCAAACTGGCATGGCCATTAAGGGGAGAGATTAAAATTGGTCACGTAGGGAAGGGGAAAGGAGTCCTGGTGGTGCACCGCTTAAGCGCCTAGCTGCTAACTGAAAGGTTGGCAGTTTGAATCCCCCCAGCAGCTCCATGGAAGAAATACTTGGTAATCTGCTCCCATGCAGGTTACAGCCTAGAAAACACTATGGGACCGTTCTACTCTGTCACATGGGGTCACTATGAGCTGAAATCAACTCAATGGCTCCCACCACCACCAATTATATTCAGAATGAAAAAGGGAAGAGAGTAGGAGAAAGCAGTTAACCCCCAACACTCCTAGGAACAACCTGGATATCTGGACTGTGAGGCTCTGAGAACTCCAAGAACACCCCTAAGAATGCGTGAAAATGAGCAAGAGACAGTCTCCATTGCTGATGAAGCTTAGTGGGGAGGACAGAAGACATGCACCGATATACTGACCTCATTTGAAGCTGCTCATTATACATTTATAAAAGGGAAGTAAATATGACATGCTGTTAGTTTGATCATGTAGGGTATTATTTTAAAATATGATGAGCAAGGAGGTTGGGTGTTCACTACTTACATTGGTCATTTCTCTATGTCCAGGGAGTCCTGGTAACACAAACCATTAAGTGCTTGGCTGCTAATGGAAAGGTTGGCAGTTCAAACCCATTCAGCAGCTCCATGGGAGAAAGGCCTGGTGACCTGTTTCTTTAAAGATTACAACCTAGGAAACCTTGTGGGGCAGTTCTACTCTGTAACATGGGGTCACTAGACTTGAAACTAATTCAGTGGCACCTAACAATAAGGAAAGCCCAGCTGGTGGTCATGATAGCTAAATAAATACCAGCCAGAAGGAATTATTTGACTGTCAACCACACATATTATAATTGCTGTTATAAAAATCACATTTATAACAGCAACAACAATGAAAAAACTTAAAGATGACATCCCAACCTTTCTCCTTCTATAAATTCCTTCCCCTTCACCTGTCCCCTTCCTCCTTGTACTGCAGTTAAATAAGCCGTGTCCCTCCATTCCCCTTTTCCAGCCATAGGTGCTATTCTCTTGGCCCCACAGGACCTTTGCACAGTTAACTTTTGTGTGTCAGTTAGATTTCTGATAAAAACACTTCCTCAAAAAGGCCTCCCCTGACCACACCTTCTAGACCAGCTATCCCACATCACAGTGCCCTCTTACCCACTGGTACATTTCATCTTAGCACTTACATTATGTTGTACCATTTGTCCATGTTTATCTATTTCCCCTGCCAAAGCAGAAGCCCCCTGAAGACAGGGACTAGGTCCACTTTTGCTGAACCCTCAATGCCTCACACAGCACCTGCCTCGTAGAGTAAGCCGATAAAATATTTTTTCCATTAATAAATACAAGAATGAATGAATTCTACACCAATCTGTTAACTTGCCAGGTTTATTAAAAATTTAAAATATGAAGCAGATCTGGGAAAAGACTGAACTCTTTCTCTTCCCCATCCCCCTTTGGTGAGAGAGAAGGAGCATTGGAAATAGAATGGGAGAAGTTTCTGTAAATTTCTGGTAACCATAGAGACAGTGATTTTAGTTTATTAATCTCATGCTCTTAAGCAGGCTGGGGCCCCACAGTGATTTCTCCAAATTGCTCAGTGCTGGTTATCCTGCAGCCTTCCTCATTAAGGAAAAGCAGGCCCATTCCTTTCCTGCACACACTTTAATTACTGATGAGCAGAAGCCCTGTGCTATTATGCTCATTGTTATATCCTCTAACTGGACTGCACCTCTCACTTTGGGGCAGTGGAACATGGTCCCCAGGCCTGAAACCTTGGGGTCTTCAGTGACAGGTAGTGGGAGTGGGCAGGCTCCTGTCTAAGCCTGAGACAGATGCCTGGGAAGGGGCTGACTTGACCATATAATTGTTGTTCTGTCCTCTTATTCAACTATATTGAACGTGGGAGCCGGTGCCTTCTGGAATATCATTTAGTTTCAGACAAGGAAGGATACCAGAAATGGTTTTCTGCTCACGGTGACTATGCTTGCAGCGGAAGGTAGTAGACAAGCCCTCAGGAGCCATGGACTTCTTACGTCTGGCTTCTTTACAAAGTCTGATTTCAGGGTTTGTGTTCCTCTTCACATGGGGATTTGATGCATTCTTCTACAATTTTGCCTCTTGTCCTTTAAATAAGAGACCTCCAAATTGCATCAGGCTTTCAGTGGAGCTAGAGGAAAATGGCATTTCCCACGGCATTTCTTCTTCAGGGAAGAACACTGGTGTAGATCTCAGAAGACCAGAGTTTGGATTCTAGCTTGGCAGCTGACCTGTAGTGCAGCTGTAGGTGGGGATGCAATCTCCCTGAGCCTTAGTGTTCTCATCTTAGTGTTTTTAGTGTTCTGACCAAATGAGACTGGACTTAGTAGCTGCCAACTCCTTCCATCCTATAATTATGCTAAGACTCTGGCTCTAGTTTCCACCTGGTTCTGGAGGCTAGATGCTCATGATACCTGAAGGAGGGGGTAGGGAAAGGCCACAGGCAGTGTGCCTTCCACAGTGAAGAAGGTGGAATCTATAGTAGGAGTTTTAGGGAGGAGACATTTCTCTCCTCTGGCTGGTCATCTAAATATTGCGCTCACCTAGGTATTAGCTGCCATGTTGGAAATACTAAGACTTCCCTTTGGTTGCGTTTTCTATCCGAACTGGTTTGGAAGAGTTGATCATTCTTTCAGGAAGTACTCAGTGAGTACCCACTAGGTCCCAGGCACCATACTAAGCCCTTATGGTACAACTGTCCAGCTGGGATTGTTGGTGTTTTCATTGATATCCAATGAGCTCTGACTCATGGCAACCTATGTGTAACAGAGCGTAACATCACCCTGTGCCATGTTTATGATCATTGGTATGTTTGAGTCCATTGGGGCTATTGTGCCAATCGATTTCATTCAGGATTTCTCTCATTTTTGCTGATCTTCAACCAAAAATTAGATCCTTTTCTAGCAATTGATCTTTCTTGATGTCCAAAGTAAGCAAGACTCAGCCTACCACCTGTTCGGTTTGAGTTAGGGTTAGAGGTAGAGTTTGCTGGGATAGTCAGGAACAGATTCAGACTCTGTGGTAGGGCAGGCTGGTTTCGTGGTGTTGGGCCTATTTTCCACATACATAAGGTTTGTCTTAATTGTGTCAGAAAAGAGGCCCTGAGAAGAATGTGGACTCAGCCCTCCAGCAAAACTAGAACCAGGACTTAGGTAGACCAGCACCTGGCCGAGTCACTGTCAGATCTGAGTCTGGCTGTTCTTAATTCCAGGTGCCGCAACCTCTCATTCCCTGACAGTCTGCCAGAGGTGAGCATTGTGTTCATCTTTGTCAATGAAGCTCTCTCCGTGTTGCTGCGCTCCATCCACTCTGCCATTGAACGCACGCCTTCACACCTACTCAAGGAGATCATCCTGGTGGATGATAACAGCAGTAACGGTGAGTGCCCAAGCTCCCTGGCCTAGCCCTATGCTCCATGGCTGACATCTGAGCAGAAGGTTCAGCTTCTGTTCAGCATTATTTTCTCAAGGCTCTTTGTGGCCACTCTTTCTCTGGGATGTCTCCTCAGAGACAAGATATTCATGGTGAGTGCTGCTCTGGAAGGTTCATTACTGTAATTGCACCCTCTCTGCAACCCAGAGGGGCCTGCTCCACAAGCTTTTCTTTACTGGGCAGCCACTTTCTTCAACATTCTGCTGCAGTGCAATAAGATAAAAAAATAAAACAGAACTCTGACCTCCACCTCCACCATGTACACAGGGAATATTTCTAATGACTTTCTGAGAAGCATTGTTTCATTTTAGCATAAATGATGACCCTTGCCCTCTGCCCTGGAAGGTTGTTGATTGATGTCATTCTAATGGTGGTGATGATGGTAAAGAGTTGATGGTGCAAGTGGTGGTAGTAGTTGGAGTGGTGTAAACAGTGGGGATGGTAGTAGGTGTGTAATTCGATAACAGCAATGGAGCTGTTGAATATCTAGTCTCTATACTGGAGTACCTGCTCTCTGTTCTGTCTCAACCAGGCCTCTGGGTGACCTACAAACTCCTTATTGAAGACTTCACATCATTATCTCCCCTTTTTCAGCCACTACCAGCTAATTCCATCAATACCAGAAATTCCCTGTACATATACTACCCCTATTACATCTTCCACACTTAGAAAACGTGTATTGAAACAATTTAAAAACCAGTATTCTTGGCAGTATCTTTTATATGTATATGATTCTGATAATGCATGATTTTTTTTTAAATAGTCTGCTGGGCTATTGGCTCATGGGATCACTGGTTTCTTGTTATCTTTAAAACTCTCTGTGTCTGGGAGAAAATTCCCCAGTGAATCAGCTGCTGTAATCAGAAGTTCAAATGGGCAATTTGTGTTTTGTTATCAATTAAAGTCAAAACAAATCAGATAATTGAAATACATTTAATCTCAATAAACATGGTTTCTTTTTTATTTTATCATCATGTAGTTAGAAGTATAGGAACAGTGCTATGATGGAGAGTTTAGAGTTTTCTGGAGGGCAGTGCTTAAGATTAATTTGACTGTTACAGTTCCACAATGTGCAGGAAAGAAAAGCATCAAGTGTGGCAGCAATTATGCATGAATGGTTTTAAAGGTGGTTGTGTATTGTGAAGGCAATGAGAAGGGACTCAACTCCCATGTCTCTCACCACTACCTACTATTACCTTGTTTGGTTCCCAAGTGACGAATGTATATAGAAAAACAAACAAATAAACAAACAAACAAAAAAACAACTCATTTCCCCAGGGCTAACACAAGGACAGCATGATTAGCCTGCCCTGTGCACTCTACCCATGGTTCCCACCCAGGCCAGCTAGGGTCCCTTTCACCTGTTAAATTGTAACTGGCAAGGATGAAGAACCATCCTTCCAAAGAAGACACCCTCTGAGAAAGAGGCATCCCTAGGCCCCATTCTGCTACATTTCCTCACATAAAGAAAGAGCAAAGAAAATGAAGCACTAGAGGAAGATGTCTTGGAGCCCTTCACTTCTTCCCCATAGTGAGAACTTGATCATGTCCTTAAAGCTGTAATTTTGTCTTTAATCCATATAGAAAAAGGGAGAAGTCTGATATTTGTGCACGTCAAGTTTTCCATACATAGTGTAAAAGGGAAAAACTCTGGACTGAAGTCATGGGTTCTAGGACCTTCTCTCCCATTACTGGATAAGTGACCAGAGAAATGTCCCTCAACCACTCAGAGTCTCAGCTTCTTGCTCTGTAAAGTGTGGATGAGAAGCCCTCCCTTGCTTGCCTCACCCGCCTATAGTGATACAACGTATGACTTGAATTGAACGCTGTTGGTATTACCCGCCCCTCTTAGCCACACCTTATTTCCATTGTTGTGGCCCACAGCAAGCTAGCTACAGGATGGGGCCTCAAGAGAGCAAACTGGGGGGAAGGTGGATTTGGCATCTTGTGCATGGAACGATTTGAAGCATTGACTAGGAGGTGAGGGTATGAAAAGAAAAACAGAACAGAAAACAGTTGCTTGAGAGAATGCTGAGTGTAAGACATTTAGGAATCAAAGGAAGAGAAGCGGCTGGTGAGGGCTAGAGAGGAGCAGCCTGGAGAACAACACAGACTCCACGGACAGAGAATCTCCTCACTAAGAGATGCATGTATCTGTCCAAACCCACTGGTAGGTGGAATGGCTAGGGCCCTGGGAAGAGGATGTAGTAACTTCTGCAAGCAGCTTTGATGGGATGCTCAGGGTTAGGCTGCAGGAGTCAGATGAAGATGAGAAGCAGGCCATGAGGGCAGATGATTTTTTGAGAGATTTTTGACTGTAGAGGAGAATTATGAGCTAAAGCAGAAGCTGGAGAACTGTTTTTATATAATTTTTTTTTACATAATCCACAGCAACAAACACATTTTTATTATGATCTTGGATGATACACCTACTTATAACCTGTACACGCACATGATTGAAACACGACTTTAGAAGTGAGGCTCAGCTTTACAATGTGTAACACACTCTGATATTTTCTATTATATTCTGTTCTATGTTATTCAATTCCATTGTATTTTGCTTTGTTCTGTTTCTCTCTTTTTCAAAAAACAGGCTATTCTCAAGCACTAACTGCACATTAGAATGGCTGGGGGAGGTTTTAAGAAATTTGAGGACCCAGGCCTCACTTCTAGTGATCTAGTTGGTAACAGTGGTGATGAGGGAAGTGGACACTGGAGGCCAGTGTTTGGAGCAGGGCCACTGAAGAGAGGAGAGATTCTGAGAATAGAAACGAGTTGCCTCTGGAAAGAAGGACCTGTCTTTCTACCATTCAGACAGAATAACTGATGGGGGACTGGAGAAACTGTTGACAATGAGGAGGGCTTGGTGATGGGTGCTGAGAGGCAAAAGGAGCATTAGGGTTGAGTCCCAGCACCCAGGGAAGGCAGGGCTGGTGGGGGTTACATGATGGGAAGGGGCCTGGAGCTCAATGAGTACCCCTGTGCAGAAGGGAACAGGGAGATGGCATTTTAACTCAAGGCACCCAGCCGGAGCCAAGCTCTCGAGAATAAGCCACAGACACTTGAGGCTGTGGTTCTTAGAGAAAATAAACCATCTTTGGCCTTAAAACACAGCTGAAGGACACTTCAGACTGGCTCAGCCTGACAGAGGGAGGCAGGCTCTTTCTTGAGGGCTCCTTGTCTTAGGTATCATCTCACTGAGCACAGGACTTTCACTTGTTGCAAGTCAGGCCAATTCAGTTCAACAAACATTCATCCATTCATCAAGGACCCAGCCTGGCTCAGGGTATAAAGAGAACAATGGATCAGATTTCGTCCCCACCTTGACGTGTTCTGCAGATAAATATAAAATAAGGGAGAAACATAATAGAGTAGGGCTTGGCTTCCAGTCTCAGTTCTGCCACTTTCTGGCTGGGGCTTTGGGCTTTGATTTTTTTACCTGCTCTGTGGGAACATTAGGTCCTACCACAGCCTCCCTGCCTAACAGAATCTTTAAGGAGAACATGAGATAGTGGATAAGAAAGTTTCATGTAAGCTGCAAGGTGCTAAGGGTGCATTGAGTTAAAAAGTCTGTAATGAAAATGACAACAATAACAATGATGATGATGGTAGCTCATGTGTGTCGTTGTTGTGTGCCGTTGAGTCGGACCCGACTCATAGTGACCCCTCCGTGGGTTTCTGAGGCAGTATCACTACAGAAGTAGATTGCCCAACCTTCCTTCCGAGGAGTGGCTGGTGGGTTTGAAGCACCAGCCTTCTGGTTAGCAGTCAAGTGCATTAGGCACTATGCTACCAGAGCTCCTTCAGCTCACATGTAGCCACTGTTTAAAGGCATGACTTTGGTTTTCTCTCCTTCCTGAAATAGTGTACTTTGGTGGAAAGAGCCCAGGGTTTGGCATTAGGCTAGCTTTTCAGTTCTAGCTCTTCCTTGCTTCCTCCTAGCTGTGTGTGCTTAACCTCTGTGAACCTTATTTTTCTTGTCTATAAAATTGGGATGTTTAATTCCTACCTCAACTGTAGCTTGGAGGCTTAAGTGAGATAATGCATGATGGGAGGGATTTTGGTATTGAAATTCTAAATTAAGCAGGAGGAGGGAGGTATTAGAGTACCTGGGTGATGCACCCTAGGCTGCTGACTAGAATGATGGAGGTTTGGTCCACCCAGAGGTGCTGGAAGACAGGCCTGGTGATCTACTTCTGAAAAATCCTATAAACCACAGTTCTACACTGACACACACGGGGGTGTTGTTGTTGTTGTTGTTGTTGTTGTTTGGTGCCATTGAGTCATTTCTGACTAAGCAACCCTGTGTACAACAGAACGAAACACTGCCTGATCCTGCACCATCCTCACAATTCTTGCTATGTTTAAGCCCCACGTGGCAGCCACTGTGTCAGTCCATCTCATTGAGGGTCTTCCCTTTTTTCTCTGACTCTCCACTTTACCAAGCATGATATCCTTCTCCAGAGAACGGTCCCTTCTGGCATGTAGGTGAAACAAAGTCTGGCCATTCTTGCTTCTAAGGAGCATTCTGGCTGCACTTCTTCCAGGATAAATTTGCTCATTCTTTCAGCAGTCCATGGTATTTTCAGTATTCTTCACCAGCACCACAATGCAAAGGCATCTGTTCTTCAGTTTTCCTTATTCATTGTCCATCTTTCACATGCATATAAGGAGATTGAAAATATCATGGTTTGGATTAGGCACACCTTAGTCTTCAAAGTGACATCTTTGTTCTTCAGCACTTTAATCAGGTCTTTTGCAGCACATTTGCCTAGTGCAATATGGTGTCTGATTTCTTGACTGCTGCTTTCATGAGTGTTGATTGTGGACCCAAGTAAAATGAAATCTTTGACAACTTCAATCTTTTCTCCATTTATCATGATGTTGCTTACTTGTCCAGTTGTGAGGATTTTTGTTTTCTTTATGTTGAGGTTTAATCCATACTGAAGACTGTAGTCTTTAATCTTCATCAGTAAGTACTTCATGCCCTTTTTGCTTTCAGCAAGCAAGATTGTGTCATCTGCATGCTGCAGAAATGAGTCTTCCCTCAATTCTGATGCCATGTTCTTCTTCATAAAGTCCAGCATCTCCA